GCCCCGCGCTGCGCTGCTCCGCGACACGGCCGGCTCGCTGACGGCGCACGAGGCCAGGACCCGGACCTGGGTCCCCGCGTGGGATCCACGGGGTCGGCACACGTCGGTCAAGGGGAGCGCGGCCCCCTCACAGGCTGCGCTCCCGGCTCAGGCGCTGCTGCAGGAGGTCCCAGGCCTTCTCCACCTGCCAGAGAACCCACGGGGGCAGCACCTCAGAGCCCGCGGCCAAGGCGAGCGGCACCACGGCACGGGCAGGAGCGGCACGTGAGGGTCCCACCCTTCCTGTCCCATCCCTGCTGCGTTCACATCCCTGAATTCGTCCCTCGTGGCCGTGCCCAGAGGCAGCCTCGACAGTGAGCAGCATGCCCAGGCACACCACGCGTGACCCAGGCACAGCACTGAGCCCTCCGGTCCCCGTCACGGTCGCCCGCCTCCCCTTTTGTCACCCGAGCCGGACCCCAGCGCTGCAGCCAGCCCGGGGCTCACCTGCTTGCGGGTGACATCCGGCTCCCAGAGCGTGCACAGCACCACCTGCGCCTGCTCCACCCTTTGGCTGTTGGTCATCTGGCTCCGCAGCCGGCTGCGAGCAGCCTCCTCGCTCAGCCCGTCCCTGGCCATGATGCGCTTCACAGCCTGGCAGGACCCGAGGGGACACTCAGGCGCTGGGAGGGGAAGCCGAGAACCAGCCCTCGCAGCAAGCACCGGGCCAAGGGGCATCACCCACCTCCTCCTCCGGGATGACGGCCGCCCACACCTCATGGACCATGGCTTGCCAGCCAGCCTCCAGCAGCACGGCAGCGTCCAGCACGCACACGGCCTTTCCTATAGAACGAGGCCATTCCTCATTACCTGGCAATCGCGAGGCAGCGCGACTGCTCCTCGGGGTCCAACCCAGCCAGTCCACTTATGCTCGTAGAGTCGCGCCTTCCTGCAAACTGGCAGCACAGACGCTTTGCTGCTGAGCCAAAGAACCTCACGTGGAAAAGAGAGCAGCAGGCAGAGGCTGTGTTTGCTTAAAGGGCACACCTGGGACGGCAGGTCTCCCGGGCAGGGCAAGCCACTGCCTTCAGCCACACGCCTATCAGGCTACCAACAGCATCTCCCAAGAGCTGGAAAAATTCTGCTCCCAGAAGGAACACACACCACACTCACTGCTGGGGCACTACCCCAAAACCGAACCTGAAATCACGTGGGAAAGAGAAAGCAACCTCCACCCTTCTTCAGAGCAGGAAGCTTGAGGTAAGCCTGGCCCAGCGCGCGGGGGGGCTCGCTCTGAGACGTGCCAGGGAAAATCCCCAGCAAGCTGCCCCGCAGAGAAGAGGGGGGTCTGAGCGAGGAAAATACCCATGGCGCTGCCAAAAGCAGCAGATGGCCGGGGCTCTGGGTCGCGGTGCGCTGCACAAGACCATGCACCCAACTCCCACCTTTGTGCCGCGATGGGAGCCGCCCCGGTTACCTTGAGCATCCGCCTCCCCGATCCGCTCCTTGACCATCCGCGCCATCTCAGGCCACACGATGTCCGTGAGACTCTTCAGCTGCTCCTAGGAAGGACCACGACGGGATTTGGTTACTTGCCCTCGCAACCCCTGGGCAGCCAACAAGGGGATCGCTGGTGGCAGCAGAACCCGCGGAAGCACGGGGGAGGGACCCGGCCCCTCGCCCGCTCGCTAAGCGCAGGGAAGGGGAGCTTCCACGCTGGCCAGAGGCTCCCACACCCGCTGATGGGGTGGGGGCTCTTTTTCCTATTATTTTCCTTGCCCCGCCAGGCACAGCAGAACCTCGGTCCCTGCTGCGAGAGGTGCTTTGCAAAGACACACACACACAGCAGCACCCATGGGAGACCCGTCCATGCTGGGGGAACCCCTCGAGCTGCCTTCAGGCTTGGGCAGCCCGCAGGACCTGAGCGAAAGGCTGAGCACCGGCCCAGCCAACAAAGCCGGGCGCAGAGGGTCAGGTTCGGCTGCCGCGTCACCAAGCCCCGCTGGGTACAAGCCCAAACCACGCAAGGGTCAGAGAGCATCGCCTCCGCGTACGTCAGGGCTGCTGCTCTGCGCCGGGTGAAGGACAAGCGTGGGACAGAGGGGACGGGGATGGGGACAGGGAGGCGGCAGCAGCTGCTGGGGCGAGAGGAGCACGTCCAGCACGGCTGCTGACTCGGTACAGAGACAGGATCTCTGTGTCCTGCCCTGTCCGTACGTCACTGCCAGAAAGGACAGCCGGGAAGGTGTCATCAGCTCAAAGGGCTGAAAAATAAAAAGCCTCAGCACAGATGGAGAGCTCCCTGCTCACGAGATTAAATATTGACAGTCTCTGTGCTGCTCTTACCTGGTTTCCAAACACTTTGGCCCCAAGGACTTTCCTGTTAATCGTCCCATCTTCATTCAAGATCTCTGCGAGACAGAAGCAGAACAGGCTTGGGAGGAATGAATCCAACTCACCTCCCTGCGGCAAGCCTCGGCCAGAGCGAGAGGATTTCCGCACAGGGCTCTCAAAGGGACCCAGAAAGGAGCTGCAGGACCTGACCTGGCAGCTCTTCCCCTTGCTCCAGAAGAGGACAGGGAAGAGCTTTTCCTAGACGAACGGCAGCCCGGCTTAGCCTTCCACGCCAGCCAGCTTACAGTAGCTCTGCCATGGGGTGCGCGAGACTTGGGGAAAGCAGTGGTTTGCCCCGCTCGGGCCCAACCATCACCGAACCAGCTACAGAGCCCCGTCTGGGTGGCGCGGAGCCCAAAACCCCCGGGGAGCGAGGGGAGCGCAGGCCAGGACGGCTCCCTGGGAGGCCGCGATGATGGCACACCCCTCCCTCCTCCTCCTCCTCCTCCCAGTCTTCCCCGCAGCCTGCGGTGGCTCTACCTGCCCCAAAGGCCGCCACCACCTGCTCGTAGGCAGGGCCACCGGGGACATAGACGGCGTGGCCCAGCTTGTCAGCGTCGATGAGGAACGCTCCCAGGTGCCCCAGGAGTTTGGCGATGGAGGTTTTCCCACTCCCGGTTCCTCCAGTCAGGCCAATCACGTACGGGCGCGAAGGCAAGGCAGGGTCTTGCTACGGGAAGAAGGAAAGCCGTTGCCAGCAGACGGAGGACACGGGCTCTGTGGGAGAAGGATCCCGACCACCCAGCCTGGAGACAGGCACGAAAGGTCCTGGCTCTGCAGAGCAGGGACCTGCTCCTGCCGGGGGCCAGTACAGGCAGCAGGCAGGCAGTCCTCCGAAACTTGTCCCCCTCCTCCTGGGCACACTGCTCCCATCGCAGCCCGCGGCTCTCCAAGTGCCCCTCCTCACCCGCGGGGGCCGCAGCAGCGTCCCCAGCAGCCTCTGCCGGAGGCTGGAGGAGCTGATCTTCTCCTCCTCGTTCTGACTGTGGTCAGGGTCCTTCATCAACAGGATCTCGTAGAGAGCCAGCTCAGGGAGCCCCTGCCGAGAGAAGAGAGCCCCGAGGGCCGTCAGCCCCAGCAGCCGCGGGGACGCAGCAGAGGGAAGGGGGCTGAGCAGGAGGTCAAGGCCCAAACGAAGCAGCAGCCGCGCCCAGCCTCCCCGTGGGGCAGCTCCGTCCCCGCGAGGGGCACGTTCCCAGCAGCCAAGAGGGGAAGGGAGCCCATGGAGCTGCCCGTCTGACCCCGACCCTCTGCGGGGCTGCTGCACCACCCTTGGGGCGCACGCGGCCGGGGGCAGCTCGGCGCAAAGCACCCATCTGTGGGGTGCCGGCAGACGTGTGCGCTGGCATCCTGCCCTTGAGCCCAGGCCACGGCACGCTGGGGCACCGGCCAGCCGCGGCTGCTCACCGAGGCCCGATTTGCCCACGGGCAGCAGCAGGCATGGGCGAGAGGGCAGGAGGGGGCAGCCCACGGGGTTCCTGCGCAGGCATTACGTTTTCAAGTCTCTTCTTGTTCACGGCCTCCCCTCCCCTGCGGGTCTCCTCGCTGACCACCAGGCACTGCAGGTCGGGGTCCGTCACCGAGGGGCCATAGGGGTCGACCAGAGGCACGATGTCGTAACGCAGTGAGGGCTTCACGTCCTCCAGGAACTCGCGCAGCTTCGCCGCTCGCAGCTCGTACGGCTCGATCAGCTCCATCAGGACCTTGTCTGCCAGGCACCGGGAGGGTGGAGAAGCAAGAGATCGTCCATTTAACAACGAGCAGCTCCCGGAGTGGCAACGGAGAGCGACGGAAAAGCAGGACCGGGAGACGGACGCAAAACCTGTCCGCGACTTCGGGAGGCTGCCTCCTCCGGCTCCCCTCGCCCCCGCTGCGCCCTCAGCTCCGCGCCCCCATGCCACGATCGCTGGCGCGGATGGGACGCCGGGTCCCTACCGTCGCCCTGCCCGCACAGCACCGCCCTGCCCGCACAGCACCGCCCAGGCGCTTCGGGTGCCGGGACCCCGTGCCCCACGGGGCCCCCGGCCG